CGGACTTCTCGGGTCCGGCGTCGGTCCTCCTCCCCGCACCTCGGGGGAGGAAGCGGTGCCGACGCGGCTGCCCGTCCCTGGTCGCCACTGCTGGAGCCGCCTCGAAGCTGAGAGTCCTGGTCAGAACGCGCCCCGGGGGGGGGCGCCGGGCAGCAGCGATGTCAGGATCGTGTTCGTTCCCCCCAGCTTCCCTCTCACCAGCGCGCGGAGCTCGCAGGGGACGCCGCCAGAGGTGTGGGGAAGGGGTCCGGCGCCAAGCCACGAAATCAGCGCGGGCCTCCAGAAGGTTACTCCAGATTTCGTGGTAAAGGGAGGGGGGTCTCATTTCGGGGGGGGGGGGGGGTCTCTTCCAGGCTATCTTGGCTTGTCTGGGGGGTCTGGGGACGATGTTTTGGAGGGTTCTCCCACGGGGGAGGTCTGAAATGGCTTGTCCTGGAGGGTCCAGACCCCCTCCCTTTTATTACGAAATCTGGAGTATGCTTATGCCGAGTTGGGTCTTCGACTCCCTGGAGCCCCCTCCGGAGGAGGGGAAGGATCGCGGCGCGGGGAGCGGGGAGGTGAGACCTGACGGGGGTCGGCCAATCCAGTGTTCAGAAGAGCCACGTGGAGCCGATCCCCATCCCCCTCCCGCCGTCAAGGGGAGGAGGAGGAGGAGGAGGAGGAGGAGGAGGGAGGAGGAAATACCCAGACCCGACAACTGGCGTTTTCTAAACGGCCCTAGGCGTTTACTGAACAGACAGCCATGCCCTGTTCCATTCCTTCCCTGGGTGCGCTTACTAAACGGCTTCGCTTGTCGGGGTGATAACTATAGGGGTGGATCTTCTGCCCGCTACTCCGCTGACCCAGGTCTGGGGGGGTTTTCACTATGCGGCCAGCCAGGGGTCGCGACACGGCTTCAGTTGGCCCGAGTTCGCGTGGACCCGGGTCAGCGCGTGCCCGATCACATGAGGGGGCTATGTCGCGGCAGTATTTGAATAATGGTGGGAGGTTATCGTTCTCGAGTTTGATGGAAACGATTCTGGGGCGCAGCCTAGTTTGGGAGGCACCGCTATGCCCACGGAGATCATGAGTCGAACGTGTTGTGATTGGCGGTCTCTGATCTCCTCCTCCTCCTCCTCCTCCTCCTCGTCCTCCCCCTCCTCCTCTTCCTCTTCCTCGTCCTCATTCTTCTCCTCCCCAAAAGACACATTTGAACAGTAGTCTAGTGTTGGACATGGCTATGTTAGCTTTGCACTGGCTTAGTTTATCCGTGGGTGAGGCTTGACATGTGCTGGGTCAGTCTATTTTTTCTTGCGTGCTACCTCATGCTTGAATGGTCGACCTCTGCTTGCCTTACCATGTGTAGCCCGCGGTCGCTGACCATGGTCTGGACACAGCATCCGCCGAAGCGAATTTGCATCAACTGCTGTACGATAGGAGGAGGAGGAGGAGGAGCAGCTGCAGCAGCAGGAGCAGGAACAGGAGTATCAGCAGCAGCAGCGAGGGTAGGAGGTGGATCGAGAACCTGATGATGATGATTACGATGATGATGATGCTGATGATGATGATGATGGTGATGATGATGATGATGATGATGATGACGATGATGACGATGACGATGATGACGATGATGACGATGATGACGGTGATGACGATGATGACGATGATGGCGATGATGACGATGATGATGATGATGATGATGATGATGATGATGATGATGATGATGATGATGATGATGATGATGATGATGATGATGATGGTGGTGCTAGTGCTGGTGCTGGTGCTGGTGCTGGTGCTTGTGCTAATGCTGGTGATGGTGGTGGTGGTGACGATGATGTTGGTAATGATGATGGTGATAATGATGATGAGTATGATGATGATGATGATGATGATGGTGATGATGGTGGTGGTGGCGATGATGATGGTGGCGTTGGTGACGATGATGATGACGATGGTGATGGCGATGGTGGTGATGATGACGATGGTAATGACGATGATGGTGATGATGACGACGGTAATGATGATGACGATGATGCTTATGATGATGAGGATGACGATGAGGATGGTGATGATGATGATGCTGATATTGATGACGATGATTGAGTTGATGATGGTGATGATGACCATGATGATGATGATGATGATGATGATGGTGGTGATGATGATGGTGGTGGTGGTAACGATGATCGTGATGATGCTGATGCTGAGGATGATGGTGATGGTGACGGCAACGACGACGGCAATGGCGACGACGACGATGCCAAGGTTATTTGATGCTGAGGATGAGGCTGAGGCTGATGTTGATGCTGATGCTGATTATTATGATGCTGGTGATGATGATGGTGATGATGTCGATGGAGGCCAAAAACCACAATGGTAAGAACACTCCGGAACGAGCAGGAGAGAGCGCAGCAGCAGGACCGGGAGACGGGTGCCGACCACGAAGCGAACGATATGTGGGGAGCCCCGGGGACCAGGCCAGGACGGCAGAGGAAGTCGACGCGTGCTCGTGCGTCGAAGGCAGCGGCCCCCAAACCCTCCTCCTCCTCCTCCTCCTCCGATGCCGCGCCCAGGAGGTCGACACGGAGCTGCTCCTGGAGAAGGAGCGCCGCCCGAGCGCCGAAAGAGACGCGCGGCCGCCCTGCCCGGTGTCCCGTGAGGGCTCCCAGAGTACGGTCGGGGCGCTGAAGCGTCCAGGGATTCCAGGGATTGGGAGTCCAGGGACTGCACCGGAGCGTCACCCAGTTCCGAAAACCCCTCGGTCTTGGCCTGATCTCATCTGCCCCATCCGGGCGTGGTGCGGCATCGGCTGCTTCTTGTTCGAGGGGCGAGTTCCAGCTCTTTCTCGGAGCTTGCGTGCGCGATCCTCTCGCGTTCGGGAGAAAACAAAAAAAAAAAGTCAGGGCGCCGAAGAAGGAACCCTTTTCGTTGGGGGGGCTCAGTTCCCTTGGTTGTGTTGCAGATGGCCGCGGGTTGTCCTCAAGTTCTCGGTGGTAGATCGAAGATCAGCCCATGGAAAAGAGGGGCCTCGTTCCTTCATTTCGGGTTCCTTGGGTCAACGCCCCGACTGATTTGTAGCGGCCGCAGCCCGACCGCTACCCGCCGCCGCTGGCGCTTCCGCCTGCGGCTGTAAAAAAAAAAAGGCTCCGACTGCAAGCGTCAGGCCTGGTTCGCGCTGTTGCGCTGCGGGCGGTGCGCCCGGTAGGGGTGGTCGTGGCACGGAGGGGCCCCCGCCCGAGAGGGACTGCTGCACAGGGGATGTCTGCGCATAGCTAAGCCAGGACCCGAAGGCTCGCTGCGTGATCCGCGTGCTCGCGGGGACGACATCGGTGCCCATCGTTCGTTGAAGGTAGGCATATCTGGGTTCCCAGATTCCAATCTACTTTGAGCTGCTTCCTACTTCCACGATCGAGTGGCTGTACCTTTTCCGTCTTCCTTAAGGGGGCGGACGGAGCACAATCTTTTTTCAACGCCGTGCTTCTACCTGCTTCTTCCGACCGTTGGGTACGCGAGGGAGTGTCCAGCAGTTGCCCCTTGCCTTCTGCCCCTGACCATGCAGAGCACGGCACGGGCCCCACCGAGTCGATTCATTGATCGGCACGCGGCGCACACGTGAGCGCTTGGGAAAGAAGAAGATGCGACGAGAGCTGCACCACGGGTGCGGCGGCCATGGTGCAAGCCGAGTTCACAGAATTGTCCGTCGTCTCTCCGAAGATTCTCCCCACCCCCCCCTTCCTGAGACTCCGTTCGCCATCCTGTCGCCTCGACCACCGACGCTCCCCATCGCCCCTCCCCGCCCCGCAGGCCCAGGAGGAGGCACAAGAGAGCACGAAGACGAGGAGAGAGAGAGAGAGAGAGAGAGAGCGAAGCGGCGCCTGGAGGGAGCACGGAGTGCCCCCCGGCCGGGAACTCCGGGAGAGCGCGCCTTCGGCGCCAGCTCGTGCCGCGCGTTTGCGAGCGGGAGCGCGGCGAAGCTGCGCGAGGGCGGTGCTGCACCAGCCTGCGGCCAAGAAGTCTGGCTCCGAAGGATTGCAAAAAAAACCCGAAGGATTGCACAAAAAACCGAAGGATTGCAAAAAAAACGAAGGTTTTTTTGCAATCCGCCGCGCCGCCGGCCCTGGCCCACCGCGCTGCGGCGCGGCGCGCGCCCCGGTCCCCGAGCGCCAGCGTCCCGGGCCTCTCCCGGCCTCCCGCCCCGCGGAGCGGAGCGGCGCGCTGCCCGCCCGCCAGGGCACGGCGCGTCGCCGGGGCCGCCGCCGCGACGCCCCGAGGCCGAGGAGAAGTCCCCGGCCGCAGCCGCTGGGGGCCGAGAGTCGTGCAGAGCGGGTTTCGCTCCTCTGGTGCTGGCGCGGCTCCTCGCCGAGCTTCTGTCCCGCGGGCTGTCCCGCGGGCTGTGTCCCGCGGGCTGTGTCCCGCGGGCTGTGTCCCGCGGGCTGTGACCCGCGGGCTGTGACCCGCGGGCTCTGTCCCGCGGGCTGTGACCCGCGGGCTGTGACCCGCGGGCTCTGTCCCGCGGGCTGTGACCCGCGGGCTGTGACCCGCGGGCTGTCCCGCGGGCTGTGACCCGCGGGCTGTCCACCGCGGGCCACGGTGCGGCGGGCCGCCCCCGCCGCGCGGGCGGCTCCCCCGCGGCGGGGTGCAGCGGCGTCGCGTTCGCCCGGTTTGGAGGCGAGGTCGAAGGGTGAGCCCGGTGGCAATCGAAAGGCGAATCGAGGTGCAAAGGAATCGACTACGCGTCAATGTGACCTCTCGCCGGGGCGACCTTTGGTGCGGGCGCATCGGGGCCCCCCCGACTGCTGAGCGCGATGCTTTCGCGGCTGCTTGCGCGCTTGGATTTGGCCACTTTGTGCCCCCTGAGTCCGCGCACCAAGGGTCTTTCTTGCCCAGGGTCACCCTTGCGTGTAGCCGAGTCAACTGGAGACCAAACAGGCAAATCTGGGTGCTGGTGGAAACGCGCGTGGCATGGCAGATGGAGGTGCGAATCTCCCAAATACAAGTCGGCATGCGCATCCAGTTGCCATCGAAGTGCAGGCCTGCATGCACATCGAACCGCAGTTGCGCATCGAAACGGGCATTCGAAGACAAATCGGTATGTAAATCGAAACGCAAACCCAATGTCGACCCAGTGGCTCAAAATGCAAACTGAACTTGCAGTGTAAACCGAAGTGCTGATCGTGGAACTGGTGCAGGGAGGAAAAACTCACCCAGACAATACAGACAGATCGTGAGATCAGTGGTAGAGTGGCCGATCTCAGATTTTGACACTGGTATCGGTAGGTAGCGAAACCGAAAGATAATGAAATTACATGTGATGTTTTACATTCCATCTGGTTATCCAGGCGAAGCAAGGGCGCCCCACTGGGAGCCAATCCGCGCGACAGGGGTGCAATGTAGATGATCGTGGTCGTGGCCGCGAGGATTCCCTCGTCGCCATTGCCGTCGCCGCCGTCGCCGCCATCTTCGCCTCCACGGCGACACCATCCGTCGCCGTGTTGGCGCAAGCCTCCCCACAGGCACCGCAGGCACGTCAAGCAATAGGGTGCAGGCACCGCCTCGTTGTGGAGTTGCCAGCGCAGGCACCGCAGGGGCCGCCGATGCACCCGCGCGCGGGCGCTGCGCGCGGCAGGGCACCGGCACCGCAGGCACGTCGAGTCGCAGGGCGCGGGCACCGCCCCGCCCTGGCGGCGTCCTCGCGCACCGCGGGCGCCGCGGCCTCATCGGCGCAGGCACTGCGCCTGGCGAAGCGCAGGCACCGCAGGAACGGCAAACAACAGGGCGCAGGCATCGCCCTGCCGCGGCGGCGTTGCTGCACCCGCCGTGGGCGCCATGCGCTGCATCGGCGCAGGCTCTGCGCACGGCTCGGCACGGGCACCGCGGGCGTGTCAGACAATGGGGTGCAGGCATCGCCTCGCCGCCGAGTTGTCAGCGCCATCACCGCGGGAGCAATCGATTTATCCGCGCGGGCGCTGCGCGCCGCCAGGCGCAGGCACCGCGGGCACGGCAAACAAGAGGGCGCAGGCATCTCCTCGTTATCGCGTCGTTGGGGCAGGCACCGCGGGCGTGGATTTGTACAAGCGCAGGCAGCGCCCACAGTAAAGCGCAGGCACTTCCAGCACGTCCAATCATAGGGTGCAGGCATCGGCGCAGGCATGCCAGAACTTGTGTTTTATCGGCGCAAGAACGCCACCCTGTCAGTGATTATAAAAGTAAACACCCACGGGGAGGGGGGAGGGGGGCGGGGGAGCGCGCGAGAATTTTAGCAACGTGCCAACACCATTACCCCAATCTGACGTCGCGGCGGGACCCCAGGAACATTTGCGCCCGCGCCGCCAAGAGGCGCAACCACACGGGAAACATTGACGGAAGCGTGGCCTGAACAGCGCCCGTGCCGTCGCATTAATCCGCGCCGTTCGCGGGCATAACCTAGGACAAGATCGCGGGGAAGCATGCTACGCAACCTTAAGACTCAGCGCGCGGCATGTTTGTTTCCAGTCTTTTGCGTAATGTGTATCGTGCGTGGCATCATCTAATTTGCGTCAGGCTACGCTCGACCATACGAGCTCAAGCCCAACGCGGTTAAAGTAATGACATTAAAGTTGAGTTGGTTTAAGTTGCGTCATGATAATTTCATAGAGCACGAATATATTGTAAGGCACTGAAACATGGCGACATAGATCTGACAAGTAGCATAGGGATACGCCTGTAGAGTATGAACAGTGGGGTCCGTAGTTAGGTCGTGGGATCCATGTGTAGACGGCGGGGCCGACAGATGACCGTGGGATCGGTGGGTCGGTCGTGATATCGGTAGATCGCGAGGGCGAGCGATAGATAGATAGCAGAACCGTTCGGACGCCATGTGCACAGCGACAGCTGCCTACAAACGCACACCACCCACATAGCAGCGTTTCTATCACCCGCAGGTTGGTCTGTGAGACCATGCAGCACACTGAACAATGGTACTCGTACGTCTCCTCAACACATGTGGGGCATTCCAGAAAGGGCCTTGCCCTCAAGAATCGAAGGAGTTGACATCTCTTCCGCCGTGGAAAGGCGGCGGAAGGTTGGCGGTAGTAAAACGAAGCCGCTTCCGCCCGCGGAAGGCGGCGGAAGTAAAAAGTCGTTTTCCAAGAGATGAAAACGTTTTTGGGTTCAGGGTATCCGAAGTCCGCCATGTAAAATAGTTGATTGGGGCTTAAGAATCGAACCCATCGGTGGCCAGCAGCCAGCCACGTGGAAGGTAAACGGCAGCGCACAGTCTCGGCAAGTTGGATTCAGTCCGACATGTTTATCGTGAGTTGAACAGTGAACACAGCTCACCTTGAAAGGTGATCTTTCTTCTGTTTCAAATAACACAGACAAGAAACACAAAGTATGAGGAACAAGGTGAACGCAGGCCAGGAGTAAGCCGAAAGATAACATCCATTGGCGAAACCAAAGCGCAAAGACGGCAAGCGGAATGTATGATCAAGACGACCTCTAGAAGCAAACCAGCCATTGCGAACATGTTCACATAACATAAATTGTTTTTGATGGTTTGGCGTGCGCACGTCGGTTGGTCTGCTGGGCATATCCTTCGACAGTTTCGAGTATGCACAATCCTGTCTTCAGTGTACCGCGTAGAAGCATACATCTGCATAGATATATATATATATATATATATATATATATACATATATATGTACCCATACATACATGCATACCTACATCAAAGACTGCATTAGCGCCTCGCGCCATGCACCTTGGTCCTTGAAGTTTGGCATGCAGGCGGAATAGCAGGAAGGTCAAACAGACAATTTAGCGATAACTCTTTGTTGCTGTTTCCGGCATCGGAGTTGTAATCATGTTTTTCGTAAGTTTCGTTCCGTGGTTCTTTTTCCGAATTCCCGCCTTACCTTGCGAATTGTTCCCCATCCTCGGCTCTTTCCTGCGGGGGCGTCACGGAAGTTTATCAGGCTGTCGTAAGGCTTTCTGGAGGCCTCCTGAGCGTCTTCTGGGGGCCTCTGTGGGCTTCTTCGGGCCACCCTGCCTCCAACCGCGGTCTCCCTGAACGACCGGGTCACGATTTGGAATGCTTCGGAGGGTGTCTTGGGGCCACCTTGGGCTGTCATGGGGCTCTCTCAGGCCATCTTGGAATTCTGTTGTGCCGTATTGGGGCTCTCTTGGATTCGGAGCATGTTCGAGCCTCCCAGGCGGTGTCGGACGCCCAGAAGACCGAAGAACAGGGCATTCCCAGAATTATGGAAAACCATTGAAAATCAATGTTTTTCTTCGTTTTGGAAGCCTCTTGGGGGTCTTCTTTGGGTCGTCTTCGGGCGTCTGGTAGGTGTCTGGTGGGTGTCTGGGGCCTATTGGAGCCCTCGGGGGGTTCGGCCGCCCTCCAGACCGATTTGGGCCCGTTGCCTAGGCCCAGCAAGGGTTTCCAGGAGCTCTGAAACGCCTAGGGAGCCTCCTGCAGGGGCGTCCAGGGGGTCGCCAGGGCCACGGATCCAAGGGGTCCAGAGGGTCCCTGGGGGCGCAGGATTCGGAGGGTCCGACTTTTTTGGGGGGGTCCTGGGTTGCGTTTCGCCTTCTAATCTTGATCTTTGCACCTACATGTTTTGTCGACTCTGCGGATGGCATGTTCGCCGCAGTGTTGCTACGACCCATTCCCGAACCTGACGTTGGGGGGGCTAACCTGGCGCAGCCCCGACTGGCAACAGACCCGACGCGTTCCGTCAAAACCGAACGCCAGGTTCGGCAATCGCCCAGCACGAAGGGACGGCAGCTGCAGTCGCCAGTTGTCTCGCGCCGGAGGTGGCGCTCGCAAAAGACGGATGTAGCCGAGGCTCAAACGAGATTACCAGTCTCACACACAGGTGCGGCAGGCGTTGGGGCGGTAGCACAAATCTTGGAAATGGTTGTGGCTGGCGCTTGGGCGGAACACCATTCCCCCATGAGGGCTGTGGGAACCGCGCCAGTGGAGCGGTATAACAATAGTCAATGAGGGGCGTGGCTGGCGCTGCGAAATGAGTGCCGTGTTCCATGAAGGATTTGGCCAGCGCGCAGACGGCAGCATGACTCCCAGAGAGGGGTGTGACCAGCGCTTGGGCGAGAGCGCCAATCCCATCCAGGAATGGGGCTTGTGGGCGACCCGCAGCATCATCTGCAATGAGGGCTGCGGCCGGCTCTGAGGCGACAGTACCGCTCGTATGGGAGAGTGTGTTCAGTGTTGGGGTGGCTGCACCAATCTTGGATCAGGATGAGGCCACGGATGGGCGAGAGCACCATTGCCGAAGTATTGCAACCCGCGCGAGCGAAGCGAAGGAGGAGGTGAAGGAGGAGGAGGAGGAGGAGGAGGAGGAGGGGAGGAGGAGGAGGAGGAGGAAGGGGAGGAGGTGAAGAAGGAGGAAAAGGAGGAGGAGGAGGAGAAGAAGAAAAAAGAGGAGGAGGAGGAGGAGGAGGAGGAGGGGGAGGAGGGGAGGAGGAGAAGTGGGCTGTGGGAAAGCAGAGGAAAATGCTAGCGATGATCCTACGGCCCCGTAGGAAGGCAGGGTTCACGTAGCGTCCCCCTGGGAGCTCCATTTGCGGGTCCAGTGTCAAAGTTCGCACGGCGTCATTCCGCCCGTCTCGGCACACCCATCACACAGATCGTGCCCCAGAGGGATGTAGTTCACGTGCGGCCATAGTCAGAGGATTCGCGTAACGTCACGTAACCCCCGCGTATGTCGATAGTCTCCTCACACGGATCTTACCCCACAGGGAGTTGCACGGACGGCCCTAGAACGAGGTTCGCATCCCGCCGCCTCGCCCATGCCAGCACACCGCTGACCTGGATCGTGAGTCCGGGGCGGTTGTAGTGCTTCTCGGGGCTTGGCGGCGTTTGTTTGTGGGGCCTCTTGAAGCCTTGAGGTGAACCGTGAATCGGGGGCCACTTGGAGCCTTGGGAAGCTTCCTGGGAGTCTTTCGGAAGCATTCTGGAAACTCTGGGGGCCTCTTAGGCTTTCTTGGGGGTCCTTTTCGGGCTCTTTTTGGGCCGGCTGCGGGCCCTCCTGGGCTGGCCTGGGGCCCTCTTGGGCCGTCCTTGGGGGCTGGGGCCGTCTTGGAGCCCTCTGCGGGCCCTCTTCGGCAGTCCAGGGGGCCTCCTATGGCCCTCTTGGAGCTCCCTTGGGGCTCCTGTGGGACCCTCTGGGGCCCCGCTTGGCCGTCCTGGGGCTCTCTTGGGCCGCCTAGGAGCCCTCTTGGGCCGTCTTGGGACCCTCTTGGGGGCCTCTTGGGCCATTGGGTGCCCCGTGCGGCCATCTTGGGCGCGCCCCTGGGCGTCCGTGGGGCGCGCGGCGCGCCGTCCTGGAGCCAACCTGGGCGTCTGGGGGTCCCGTTGGGCCGTTTCGGGGCCGTCCTTGGAGCCTCGTGGGCCGTCTCGGGAGGGATCTCGGAGCCCTCTTGGGCCGTCGTGGGATGCAGGATGTCCGGAATGAAGAGGACGTCAAAATCTGTCAAAAAAATGGAAAAGCGTTGGTATTTGCATGTCGCGGCGCTCTCGGGAGTCTTGTGGGCCCGTTTGGGAGCCGTTCTCGGGCGTCTCGGGCCGTGGGGAAGCCATGAACAGCGTTTCAGCCGATCGTTCGACGCGCGGGCGGCCGGTTGGGAAAGCTTGGAAGTCCGTTCGAAATGTGCCCCGAGGCCAGGGAGGACAGTCGAAAAAGGAAGGGGGGGCCATCTGGGGGGGTCTTCCATGCAGGATGTATAATTATAGGGATATAGTATATGTACACACACGCGTGTAAATACAACCACCTGCTACAGTGCACGAACAGAAGGAGGAGGGACGACAAACTGGCGATGCTGGTGTTTAGACGATCATCAGTACAAGAATAATGAGTACGTACCAGACACGGTCCTGACAGCTTGGGAGACGTTCGAACAGCACGTGAGCGTGCATCCGAGAAAAAAGTGTTCCCAATATGTTGTTTGTTCGCGTCTTCTCACTTCCCGGAAAAGGAGCAGACAATCGCGGAGTTGCGGGAGATGGTGGGCATCATGTCCGCGCATCCGAAGGGAATCTAGCGGGAGATGGCAGCTTGATTTGATCGCCAATTTGGTTGTTGATCGTGTTGGTCAAGTCGATTCGTTATGTCGTGTCTCATCGTATGCCATTCTTTCCTAGCGTATTGATGCGTGGCCCTAGCTGTTCGCCTCGATGCGGCGGTGCCCTCGATCCGATCAGGGACGCCGCTGCGAGAGGAGGAAGAGCGAGGCAGCGGTGGCTCGGCGACCGCAGGCGTGGCCGCGGGTAGAGGATTCCCGGGGGGGCCTTGTTTGGAGTGTTGCCATGTCGATCGGGAAGTTCCCTCTCCGTCTCTTTGTCGTGGGGCCACTCACATGGAGTATCTCTTCAATACATTGAATGTCTCCTCATTACATTGCGTGTCTCCTCATTACATTGAATGTCTCCTCATGGGAAGTTCCCTCTCCGTCTCTTGTCTCGGGGGCGGCAAAGAGGGGGGTGATGACTAGAAGGGGGTGGATCTCATGGCGCGGGCAATGACTTTTCCTCAGATCTCATGGCGCCTCTTCTTCTTCCATTGCGGTCCGGGCCCCCCCGCTGGGCCGCGCACATGCCGCCAGCCATGATTTGCACCCCCCCCTCTTGGACACCCCCCTCTTGGCCGCTCCCGATTGTCGTGGGGCCATTCACAGTGAACATCTCCTCATTACATTGAATGTCTCTTCGTGGGGCGTGCAAGGTCTGAGAAGATCCAGAAGCTGGAGCAGTTGGTCAAGGCCAGAACATGAGCCGCAGGAGGAACCGGTAGGGCATGGCAAGCGGAGAGGAGCAAGAAGGACAATGTTTGTAAGGAAAACAGAGATGGAGCCCTTTTGGGTTGCGAATAACGTTGAGAAGGATGACAACGACGAGGCAAAAGGTGGGTGTTTGGTTCAAACGAGCTCCTAGGCAGAGCTTGCGCGAAGAAGCGTAGGCACCTGCCAGCCTTCGCACGAATAGGCCTGGCCGAATGCATGTCAGTAGCACACAGACACACACACACACACCCGCAGTCGCAGAAGATTCGCGAAGACCCTTCAAGGGCAACGATGGGGCTACAAAGCCTCCGTGGGGCAGTTTCCGAAGGGAGTGAGGGAAACACTCCTGGACAGCAGCGAGGGCGGACGCCAACGCGCGCGGAAAGCCGGCAGGCCGCACCAGGACTGGGGGCACGCGGAGGCGAGTCGTGGAAAGAGGAGGGTGGCCGTGGAGGAGGAGGAGGAGGAGGAGGAGGAGGAGGAGGAGGAGGAGGGAAGCTTCACGGGTGAGCGAAGCACGCTCAAAGTGGGGACGGGGGCTGGGCCAGCGGGCCGGCGGGGAGAGCATGGACCCCCAATCGACCACTGATCTCCGACAGAGGCCTGATGGCCCGCCACGCCCAGGCGCTTGCGAAATTTGCTATCGAGGCCTGTCGCCGATCAATCGCGATGTATCGTCAAGTCGGGCCTGTCCCTCTACAGGAGGGGTATTCAAAAATAGTCAAAAAAATAGTCTGGGGACGATTTTGTTGACTATTTTGGAGCATTTTCGCAATATGGTTTGAATATGTTTAGTTTTTCACCCAAAATCCCCCTGTAGGGGGACAGGCCCGACCTAAGTGTATCGCCGATTCCAGCACGCTCGACGTTTCCCCCTGGAGCTGGTCCCCTCCTCACGTTCCCCCATCAGGAGTACTGGCGGTGGTGGCGCCGCAACGGGGCTGCGCGCTGCTCTTGCGCAAGGCCGGGCAGCCCATGAGCAACAGCCGATGCCCTGCTCTACATCTCAAACCTCCAAGCAGCCCAAGACCACCCAGACAGAGCAATGGCTCCAAGAGAGGCAAGCCGCGCAGTTGCAGCCCGCACGGGCGAACACGAGCACCGAGCAGTGGTAGGCAGATGTGCAGCAGTGCACACTTGGGCGCCAGAGCTTACAGCACATCGCTCCTGGAGAATCGAGCCACACGGGTCGAGATGAGCTCAGGCCCTCTAATAGGCCTAGCCGACAACACATTCGTGCCACACCGGCCGTCAACGAGTCAACTTCGGGTCTCCCGCAGCGAGACAGGAGGCACAGAAGCGAGAGGGACCACGGCGCTGTGCGAGGGCAGGCAACCAAGAGCATCATCCCGATCAAGTGCGCAGAAGGAGGAGGTGGAGAGGACGCCTGTTGGAGTGCCCCAAAGTCACCAAGAGCGCCATTCCGCTAAAGTGCGCAGAAGGAGGAGGTGGAGGGGACGCCTTCTGGAGCGCCCCAGAATGGCAACGATTGTGGCGATGGGAAAGTCACGCCGCGACGGCGATTGGGGCTCTGTTCGGAGGGCGCGGCGGCGCGGCGGGGCCCGGGGGGAACGTTTCCGCAGGAGTCGCAGGGGGGCTGGGGAGCGGGAGGGAGAGCCGCGAGGGGGGCGAGCAAGGGGAGAAGGCCGCGAGCTCGGCCCCACGCTGCCCCAGACCTCCCGCCGGCCCGATCTTGCTCGAGCCGTCGGGCCCTGGAGCCGTCGACCCCTTCCGCGGGGGCCGGCTGTCCACCTCGAGCGGGTCTGCCTGTCCGGGGGCCCGGAGGCGCTAGGCTCAGTCGGGCAGGTCCCTCTACGGGAGGGAGGTTCAGGAATAGACAGGTTGGCCCGGCGAAGGGCCCAACCACCTGCAGCTGCGAGTGCCGCGAGGGAGACGAGGCGGAGGAGGGGGGCCCGCGGTGTCCAAAGCTCCGCGCCCTGCGCCGTGGAAAATTCCAGGGGCCTCGCGCAAGCGCCTCTTCCTCGAAATGAGTCGCGGTGTCGCACGTAAACCCTGCCAATGAGGCCTTTGGTGGAGCTCCTCGTTGGGCCACGAAACGTGTGAGGGGTGCGCTGACATGAATCGCGGGGACGCACGACAACCCTGCCATTGGGGCCTTCGGTGGAGCTCCCTATGGGGCCACGAACCGTGTGAGGGGTGTGCCGAAATGAGTCGCGGGGACGCATGTAATCCCTGCCATTGGGGCCTTCGGTGGAGCTCCTTATGGGGCCACGAACCGTGTGAGGGGTGTGCCGACATGAGTGCTTGGGACGCATGTGGACGCACCCCTGGGGCTTTCGATGGAGCTCCCTATGGGGCCACGAACCTTGTGAGGGGTGTGCCGAAATGGTGGACATGGGAGAGCAGAGGCAGTGATGGGAGGAGAGAGGGGGCAGCGGGAGTGAGTGAGGTGACGCGGGGCGCTGTCTCTTCAAAACGAGGACCCTATGCCACAGGAAGGTTGGGAAAAATCGTCTGGGGACAGTGCTTGCTTATGTTGTCAGTTGACTGTGTTGGGGTGATTTGTGTTAATTTTAGCTTCCCTCCAAAATCCGCCCGTACGGGGACATGCCCGACCTAACGCTGGGTCACCCCAAGGGGCGCGAAGAGGATCGCGTGTCGCGCACTCGCGGCCTGGGCTCTGGAGGAGGCGCCCTTGTCAAGAAGGTGGCCTCGCGAGGGCGCGGAGGCTTTCTCCGCGGGTCGCGCGCAGCGCGGGGCGCGGGCGTGCGTGGTCAGAGGACGTAGATCTAGGCCTCCTAGATGGGGTCGGAGTAGATGGGGTCGGAGGATCGCACCGCATCGCCGATGCGGCTCGATGTGGGGCCCAGTTTTCTCCACGCCGACGTCGCCGATGCATCGCCGACGTCGCCAGAGCATGGCCGATGCATCGCCGGCGCATATGCATCGGCGATGCGGCAAGATCCTCCGACCCCACCTACTCGGACCCCATCTGGAAGGCCTCCAGCAGAAGCGGGTTCCAGGCGCCGAGGCTGGAGGCACAAACACTGGGCGGGGCTTGCCTGGGTCGCCAGAGGTGCTCGCGGGCGGGAGGCATGCCCGCATCCATGTCCGTGGCATCGCGGGTTGGGCCCCGTGGGCCGCGGCCCGTGGATCTGCGGGAAGTGCTCGTCGCGGCTCGCCGCTCGTGAGGTGTGGGCCGCGCTTGCCCTCCCCGAGGTGAAGGACCAGAAGCTCGAGGCAATGGGCCAGAAGATGCAGCGCTTCGGTGTGTCCTGAGCGGTGGGCGCGGCGGCCCCCGTCGTCCTTCGCCTGGCGCACGTCCTGCCCCCACGCACTGCCTTCGCTCCCTCCTTCTCCCCTTCGGCGACCACAGCGGGTGTGGCTACGCCGGGATCTGATGTGCGATCTGCGCCCTGGGGCCTGGCATCGCTCGGACGTGTGCATTTTTTTCTCGGCGAGGGCGATCGAGGAGCATCCTTGATCATTTGGCGAAAAAACCACGCACGAAACCGAAAAAAATACAGGAAATGGACGTCCGAGCGATGCCAGGGGGGTGTCCAGGAGGGGGGGGGGGGCACCGCGCTGCGCCAGGGCGAGCCCTCGTCGGGGCGTGGCGGCGAACTCTGCCGAGGCCCTCGCCCGCCCCCCAGCTTGCGGGTTGCAAACCGCGCCCTGTGCAAGCCGCACCCTGCAGCGTCGCCGATTCCTCCTGCCCTCACTCGACGAGCAGGGGGACTGGAAAACACACAAGTCACTGGCTTTTCGACACCTTCGGCCCATCATACGCATACACCGATCCTGGCCAGGCCAGCCCTGGGCCAAGGGTGGATACACACGACCTCCTGGCGTCGCTGGGAAGGTGCTTCCAGCGATATTGGGCTCAGGATTGGCCTGGCCAGGATCGGTGCACGTGCGGGTAAATCAACCAACACAGCTGGATGACTGACTCAGCTTGCAAGCCGCACTGAGGGTCCAGCGGCGCATGTTCATAGCTGTTCCTTACTCATTACTCATGTGTGCCCCAGTATGGCCAGAAGTTTGCATATGTATAGGGAGAGCCATTGCGCATTCGTCGTGTGTGTACGCATCTACGCTGTGTGCATTTGTTGTACGGTCATCGTACCATAGTGTACGATACGACTACATCATCATATGTCTTCCCATTCCTCCCTTTTTGGTCCCTCTTAGGTCCCTTCCCCTGCCATCCCTTCCCTCCTCAGGTCCTACCTCAGTTCCTCTCCCCTACTCCCCGCCCCTCCCTCCTTTGCCTCTTCCTCCCCGTGCATAGGTCACCAACGCGCAAAGATGGCTAGAAATACTTGCGACGCCCATTGGGGGACCAGCAGTGCATTTTCAGATATGCGCCGTGTGTCTTTTGTCCTGACTTAGGAACGCAATTACATACGGAGATCCACTACGTGTGCGTTCAGGGACTCAGGGGTTTTGCAATGCGTATACATCCGCGAGCACACTTGACGCACGAATACCTATAGCGTTAGATGTATAGGTAAAAATATCTTAAACACATCTTATGCCTCACCAGACACCACCGCAAATATTTGGTGCATACACTCTACTTATGTGTGTTGTTTCACGGTGTGTTACACTTACACGTCCTAGAGAGTCGAGGAGACGACGACGAGGATGACGGGGGAGAAAGGGGAAGGGGACATCGACGAATGACGACTCGAGCAAGGACGATCCGCGCGACGACGAGGACGACGGCGATGGCGACGAATGACGACGACGGACGACGGACGACGACGACGACGACGACGACGACGACGACGAGTCGATTGATGGACCTGAGGGCGGACGCTTCGCACGACGGACGACGGACGAGCGGGTTTCCCTCCTGCCTTTCCTCCTCCCGCTGGTCTGGTGCCCTGCCCCTCCTCCATCCGTTGTTTCCCTCCCCCCTTCCCCGCACACGCACCGGCTCCTGTGCCCATATCATGCCGCACGCTTGTCCTCCGTGCCTACCCTCCTCCCCGGCCTCTTCATCTCCCGATCTCCCGCGTCCCATCTGTTTAATTTGTTCTCTATCTCTCTATCTCTTTCGCGTGGTTTCTCTCTCTTTCTCTCTCTCTCTCTCTGTTTCTCTCTCTCTCTCTCTCTTTCTCTCTCTCTCTCTTTCTCTCTCTCTCTCTCTCTCTCTCTCTCTCTCTCTCTCTCTCTCTCTCTCTCTTGCTATATATATATACATATATACATGTGTTGATCCCCCCGTTGCCTTCTCTCTCTCTCCCTCTCTCGATATATATGTATACATATACATATAGATATATATATATATACATATCCCCCTTCTCTCTCTCTCTCTCTCTCTCCAGTTCTCTCGCTCGCTCGATCTCTCTCCCTAACTCTAAATATGCATGTATTTATATGTACTGATATGGATATGTGAATATGTGTGTCTCACTTTACTTGCGTTTCTATCCCTCTCTCTCGTTCTCTCTCTCGCTCCCCCAATATCTCTCTGTTCTAGATATAGATATGTGTATACGCACGCAGATCGAGTAGCACAGTGTGTGTGATATTCCTCACTGTCTGTTGATGGATATATGTATATATATACACACACGGCCGTTATGCTTACATATATAATACGTGTACACGTATGTAAGTAGTCATATGTGTATGTATGCCCGTATGCGTGTGTTGTTTGATGCATGTATGTTTGTGTGTGTGCGTGCATGTATGTATGTATATGTGTGTATGCATGCGTGGACATGTATGTATGTATGTGTGGCTGTGTGTATGGGTGTGTATATGTGTGCATGTAGTGACGTACGTATGTATGTATGCATGCATATGTGTATAGTTGTATGTGTGCATGTTTGTGTGGATGTGTGTATGTGTGTATGTGTGAGTGTATGGTTGTTGTCATGTATGCATGTGATGTGTGTTTGTGTGCATGTAGGTACGTGTGTATGGATGTGTGCATGTGTATGTGTATGCGTGTATGTGTATGTTTGTATGTGTGTATGGTTGCTTGTATGTGTGTATGAACGCTTGCATGCAATTATGTATGTATGAGTGAATATATGTATGCATGCATGTATGCATGCATGCGTAGTACCAGCTTTATCCGTATACTGTCCGTGTGCACGCACAGGGAGATGTACGAACTCTACAGCACTCCCCAGATCCGAAGGGTTCTTGTTATCAGTGTGATGCCTCCACGCCCTTCCCCCTTCCACCATCCTCCTTCCCGCCTCCGCCCTCATCACCCGCACTCAGACCCACCCGCACTCAGACTCACGCATATGCAGACTCGCCCGCACGCACATTCCCTCGTACTCATGCTCAATCTCGCGCATACTGATATTCAAATTTTATCGCACTCAGACTCACGCTCGCCCGTGCGAGGCCAGATTGTGGGGATACCCCAGGCGAAAAGCCCGTTCGGGCATCAACGACTCGTCTATCACAGCAGACTGTGGGGATGTCTCGAGCGAGGCGCTCGTGCTGAGACCCTTAAGAAGGGCAGCCGGCGGGGAGGAGCACTCACCCGTTCGATGCCAGGTTCTGGGGATCTCTCGAACGAGGCGTCCAGCTGGCGTCACCGGCTCCTCCGCTTTTAGAGCAGATCGTGAGGATGTCTCGAGCAAGGCGCTGGTCCGTTCGCACTTCGATTACGGGGGCGCGTCGAACGGTCCGCGTCTTCTCTCCGTTCAGAGCTAGTGATCACTGCGGCGCGGTGTAGTAGGCGTCTCATATGGCCCTGCTTGGCGTGGTATTGTCTGGTGCGGTGTGGTCTGAAAGTGAGGGGTCGGCGAAGAGAACAACGATGAGGAAGACAACGAGGATGGGCATGAGGAGGAGGAAGAAGAGGCAGGACGAGGAGGAGGAGAAGGAGGAGGAGGAAGGAGGAGGAGAAGGAGGAGAAGGAGAGAGAGATGGAGGAGGAGAGGAGGAGGGAGGAGGAGGAGGAGGAGGAGGAGGAGGAGGGAGGAGGAGGAGGGAGAGGGAGGAGGAGGAGGGAGGAGGAGGAGGAGGAGGAGAGAGGAGGAGGAGGAGGAGGAGGAGGAGGAGGAGAGGAGGAGGAGGGAGGAGGAGAGAGGAGGAGGAGGAGGAGGAGAGGAGGAGGAGGAGGAGGAGGAGGAGGAGGAGGAGGGAGGAGGAGGAGGAGGAGGAGGAGGAGGAAGAGGAGGAGGAGGAGGAGAGTCAACAGGAGCAAAGCGAAGAGGCATCAGCAGATGAAGGGTGTGCAGTCGGAGGAGGGGAAGGGGAGCGTCCGCCACACCCAGGAGGATGAGGAGCGCTGTTTCCTTCACGTCGGCGGCAAACTTGGGGTGAAATGAGAAGGGGCGGGCCTCCTCAGAGAGCTCGGAAGTCCTCAGGCCTTCTGAGAGGTCTTCTGAGCCTTCCCCGAAGACACAGAAGACGTCTCAGAAGGCCGGAGGGGAGAAGTCCGGCCGCCTTCTGTGAAGTCCTTCTCCTTCTCGTTTCCCCCCCTCGCTCGCCGCCGATAGCGCTCGGGGTCTAACCCAGTCTCGCACGGTCGGGTCTGATCTGGAAGTGCGGTGGTCGACAATGGTGACGAGAAGGGGAGAGAGCATGAAGAAGGGAATGGGGAAGACTGCACATCACTCCTGGGAAGCGGATTTCAAAGTGGAGCAGGAAGATGGAAAGGAGAAGGAACGGACAGAGGCGGAGCCAGAAGCTTGGTGTATACATTGTGCCTCCCTGGGGCGCTACCCCCCAGGAGTGAGGCGTGGGGAATCGGGGGTAGGAGGATGAGAAGGTCCAAAGCCGTCAGAAGGAATGTCGTGGCAACCTTGGGCCGATCTTGGGCTGAACTGAGGCGGTCATACTCCATGTCTTGGGCCGCCTTCAGGCTGTCGTTAAATTGTCTGGCACCCCTTGCAACAATCACGGGGGCATCTTGATGTTATGGCAGAATGGCGGGGGGGTCTTGACAGACAGACACACAGACAAGCCATACACCAGGCGTTGCGTGCGCGTGAACACGAGTGGAAAGTAAGGCGCGCTCTCAGTCGGACCACAGGACGGGCCGACAAAGAAACGCGGGCAAGGCAAGGAACAGGGGACTGGCAGGAAAGCGATGAGCCGAGGAGCGAGAGGGGGAGGGGATGGGGAGGAGGGAGGCGACCTGGACGCGCCAAGCGACGAGGAGGGGGAGAAGGAGGAGACGGAGGAGGAGGAGGAGGGAGGAGGAGGAGGAGGAGGGGGAGGAGGAGGAGGAGGAGGAGGAGGAGGGGGAGGAGGAGGAGGAGTAGTAGGAGGAGGAGGGGGAGGAGGAGAAGAAG